CTGTTTCTGTTGACACGTGTTGACTCACGTGAGCCGCCTGCTGGTGTGTGCGCAAATAACACCCGTCTACATTTATTCTCCTCAAACGCGGGATGACTGAGACGCTGCTACAGTAAATTAATTACGATGCTTCCTGCTGTGAAAAAAACGTTTTCATGTCTGGAATTTCACAGTTATTTTGTTTTCAAAGAGGATAAAGGAAATAACATAGTTGTACAGCATAAGCTATGCATGAAGACTCTTGCTTTAACAAAGGCTACTTAACCAACTTGAACATTTGCAGGTACGAGTCCGATATGCATGGAAATCATCATGTTATCTCAAATTTAGTGTTTGTTAGTGATTCAAAATTCCATGGTGTGCATGACTGCAGTTGTAAGTTTTCTAGCGGAAAATGAGCCTGAAAATGTAGAAATTAATGAGAGTCCTCACACCCCGGATCAGTCATTGAAATAAAGAAAGATCATAGCATTTCACATGCATTTATGATTTCGACATGTAGGCTTATTTTAAAATAGACTGATATGTATATGGTGTAAATGTTTCAATGCTGTGTATAAAATATATTTATTTTTACTTGTACATGTTAAAAAGAAAAAATTATAACTGTAACGGAATACATTTTAAAAGTAACCTTCCCAACCCTGCATTTGAGAAATAGTCACAATTTTGTGGGCAATCGTCAGAAAAAAAGTCGCAATTATCAGAAAGTCACAACTGTAAGATGTAAAATTACATTTGTGAGAAATAGTCAAAATTTTGAGGTATAAAATGTGCAATTTTTTGAAATTATTAGAAAGTAACGTACAACAGAAAAAGTCACAATTATGAGAAATAAAGTCAAAACTGTGAGATAAAACTTGTTTTAAGTCACAATTATAACAAAATAAGTATTGTTGGGGGCCACTGTATATTTAGAAAATATAACATACTAGACTAAATTATAGTATACTGTGAGACTATGCAGAAGATCCATGACATTTCCACCAGAGAAACATGGCTGTGTTTGATTTGATGTTTTATGGCTATAGACAAAGGCGAGTACAGACCATGTTCAGTGTTTTTGATATGTCCTCCTAAAGATAAATGCATGTGTAAATCATAAAGACATGTCTGTTATGCCTAAGGCATAGGAATCTTGTCTTGTAAGTACAAACTAGACAAGATTTTTTTTAGAGATACTAACAAAAGAGGAGTTTAAATGTGTAGTAATAAGACAAGATTTTCTATTTTTGCTGCATTGTTGTCATTTCTTCTATTTCAGTGCGTAATGGTTTTTGACATAATGTAGTACACCATGAACTTGTCAACTTGTTGAGAACAATGTCAGTTTTTGACTGGCAGGGAATGAGGTGAAGGATTTTTATTTTTGTGAGTAAGACGTATATAGAACATTGTTTCGATTTGGTATGCAGACAAAACACTTTAGTGGGTGTTCAGCTACAGAACAGTGAGAAATATCCAAATAGAAAGAAAAAGAATGGCAAAAAAAAAAAACACACACACACAACGGGGCCCTTGAGACACCAGTAAAACATGTCAAGGCCCCAGGTTTCCTCATTGCTTTGTCTGTCTCAGTTATCAGTGTTAGGAGGAGCTTTGCAGCTTCTTAATATATCGCTGTAGTTTAGTTATCAGAATCTGAGCTATCTATGGAACAGCAGAAGAGCTCTAGTGCTTGTTCTGACGGGACCGGCCCTCTGATCTGGCTCCCTTTGAACCGCTACCCTTCCCATGGTTGCTCAGAGAAACACGCTCCCTCTCAGAAAGAAAAATATAGACAGAGAGGCTTTACGGAGACAACTGACAGCTCCCCAGACCCTCTTGGATGTGAGGTGAGGCGATGACCCAGAAGAAAATTGTATGTTTAGTGGAGTTTAGGAATATTAGCTTTGAAAGTTTTAACTTTGACTCTCATATTTTCTTTAAAATATCTCACGAGAAATAAAACAAACAATTGAGACAATTGTTCGTATATAAAAATAAAAGGTTACATTCAGAAAATTTGTTTGTAGAAGAATTTGATAGGAAAGAATATATTGATAGAATAGAGTTTGATTTCATGTTTGAAATCTCTGACTTTTAGAGGATGCATTTGTAAATATTCAGGTTTTAGACAGGTAAATATTCAAGTCTGACAATCAAGAGACTTAAACAAAAGTCTCCAGTTGATCTCCATTTATCCTCATTGCAGTCTGGGAGAAACACTTGAGATATTTAAGAGATCATTTGTAATTGTTTTCATTCCTATGGGGAAGATTAGATTTAGAAGGAGAGGCAAGCTGTAATGAGAGGGTAAATTAGGTTTCTGTTGTCGCATGCCAGTCTGGGATATGGGCCAAAGTTTAGATTGCACGTCAGAGTGTTTGTTTAAAGGTAAAGAGTGTTATTAATAATTTTAAGCTTTGCCGCTTCAGTTGAACATTTTAATAACCAGGCAGCTCTCACACAGGTCATGCAGCTTTGAACGAGTGCATTTGTGACTCCTCTTTTCATCTCAAGGAGAAAGCTTTGCTTAGACATTTAATTTAACCACCTTGAAGGTAGATTGCACAATGTCTGTGTATCGTGTGCTTCCCTTTCATGGGAACTTCGAACTGCGTCCTCTAGGGGTCGCTATGGGGGTATTATGGTGCAGCTATGATGCATGCATGCAAAAAATGTCATTTTGAACTTGAATGAACTCTCTTTCCTCATTTTAGCTGTTCTTCTTTTCAGGCCCACCTTGTGGCAGCGTTTGAGCAGAGTTTGGGCAACATGACCATCCGACTTAAGAGCATCACCATGACCGCAGAACAGAAGGTAAATATCAACACGCTTGCATTTGAATTTATCACATTTGTTCATTAATAAACTTAAACAGAACATGATTTTATAGATGCATTGTCAATAAATATATATGTGTATGTTAGGACTCTGAGCTGAATGAGTTGAGGAAAACCATCGAGCTGCTAAAGAAGCAAAACGCAGTGGCTCAAGCGGCCATCAATGGCGTCATCAATACTCCAGAACTCACCTGCAAGAGTGAACGCACAGGTGAGCAAAAGAAAATAATCGTTATTTTTAAAATTTGACTTCATATTTGAAATCTCTGACATTTGACATCTGACATCTTTTCCTTTAACGTGATTACATTTCTGTTTTAATACAATTATGTATTTTGAGCATTCTGTATATACTCCTCAGACATTGTTGTGTTCTGATTGGTTGATGTATTGTACTGTATTGTTTAGTTTTGCAGTTTGAACACTAAATGGCATGCTTGATGTCAATTAAAAGCTCTCTCTGTTTATCAGGTAATAATGGAGCGCAGCCGGACCTGCGCATGCGCAGACAGCACTCATCTGACAGCGTCTCCAGCATCACCAGCGCCACCAGCCACTCCAGCCTGGGCTCCAACATGGACAACCCCGACTCCAACAGTAAGAAGAAGAAGAAGAACTGGGTGAGTACACACTCCTCTCATCAACAGTTAAAGAGATGGTTCACCCAAAAATGACAATTCTGTCATCATTTACTCACTCTCATGTTGTTGCAAACCTGTATGAGTTTCTTTCTTCTGCTGAATACATAAGAAGATATTTTGAAGAGTGTTGATTCCAGAGCAGTTTCCAGTCCCCATCTATACTATGGAAGTCAGTGGGGAGCATCAGTAGTTTGGTTACCCATATTCTTCAAAATATCTTCTTTTATTTTCAACAGAAGAAAGAAACTCGAACTGAGTAAATTATTTGACAGAATTGTCATTTCTGGGTGAACTATTCCTTTAAAGAAATGTTTAACCGTTGCAAAACTATGTGTTTCTTCATTCTGCATTTTATTTGTCTAATGTTTGTCTTTTATGTTTTTGTCGGAAGTTGCTAAAACTTTAAAAATGATTAAATACTGCTAACAAACATCTAGTGTGATATTTACTTTTATACTTTTCCTGAAAACAGTATTAAATGCAAAAAATTAAGGACCTGCCTTTTTGTAGTGTAAGTTAGTTTACCATACATATAGAGTTTAATATTGTACTTCCTGTTTCGCTGTATCATGCTATGGCTGTAGCTGGTGACCTGTGCTGGAGGTGACGTGTCAGATGATGAATATGAATATGAATACGTATGTTAAAGTATCATGACAAGTCACCCTGTTATATTTAGTGAAGTGTAACATTGATAGGCCAGCAGTCCTTGTTGATTTATATACAATACTGTTCAAAAGTTTGGGGTTGGTAAGATTTTTTTTCCTTGCTTTCGAAAGAAATTAAAAAATGTATACATGATGAAATTGATTAAAAGAGACAGGAAAGACATTTACATTGTTAAAAAAAATCTTATGCATGAATTATTTATGAATGCTTATGCAGCAAATCAGGATATTAGAATGATTTCTGAAAGATCATGTGACACTGAAGACTGGCATAATTATGAAAATTCAGCTTTAACATCACAGGAATAAATTACATTTTAAAATATAATCAAATAGAAAAGAGTTATTTGAAATTGTAATACTTTTTCCACTATAATACTGTTTTTACTGTGCTTTTGATCAAATAAATGCAGCATTGGTGAGTATAAGAGACTTCCTCAAAAAAAATCTTAGCAACCTTAAACTTTTGAATGACAATGTACACCAAGATTTTGAGTTGTTGTTTAGTGTCCCAGTTTGTGGTGTTTTCTAGTTAGCAATTATTCTTAGATTGAATTTAGCTGTGTTTAAGTTATTTAGCTTTGTAGGTGCGTCACTGTACTTTTAGCAAAAAACAGGTCATTTTAGCCTAGTGCTCCCGCTGGCCATCTAGTGTTTTGGAGAATGGTAACCACCAGCTTAACTAGGTCCCTATTCCTGCAGTCGATTTGTGTTATTGCGTATGCATTGGTCCTGGGTTTGTGTTGGTCTTGGGAGGTCTTTAAGTGAAATGTAGTTTAGCGAGACTCTCAACTTAGTAGTTCTTCCTGCAGAGTGGTTTAGTGGTAGACATGCAGCTTGTGCTTCAGACCCCTGTGTAGGACACAAACACACGGCTGAATGTGCTTTTCTGTGTGTCTCTCTGTTTCTCGCTGTGCTGTCGCTTCATATGGCAGGTGTATGAGGTAAGAGTGTGTGTTCAGAGAATCCTGCACACCTGTCTTTGGTTAACCCAGCTCCACTCCGCATCACACCACTAACCCTGCTAACCCTTAGATGTACTGCTCCTCAGCCTGCTGTCTTTCTCACCTGTCTTTCTGACCCCCTTTCCCTTCTTTTCTTCTTCTCTTCCCTTCCTATTTGAAATGATGTCTCATAGTGAGTCATTATATTTATTTATACAGTTAAGCTGATATTTATTTTAGTGTATAGTGTTGCATAGGACAGCAAAGTCTGCAAAAATGTTCCTTGGAATCATGATTTCCTGATGTTTGAATTATCGATTTTATATTGAGATCTTGATTATGAACTTCTTGGCTTTGAGTTCTTGATTTTGAATGCACTGATTATTAATTCCTCAATGTTGAACTTCTTTATTATCAATTTATTGATTTTGAACTTTCTTATTTGTTTTTAATTTTTATTTTAAACTTGGTTTTACATTTCTTGATTATAAACATTTTGATTATAAACTTCATTTTGAACTTTTGCATTTTTTTAAATTTTAAACTTCTTGATTATGAACTTCCTTATTTAGATTTTTTTTTTTATTTTAAACTACAATTGTGAACTTCTTTTTTTTTTTTTTTTTTCTTTATTATGAACTTATTTTTATTTTATTTTTATTTTAAACTTCTTTATTTCAAATTTGTTTATTTTCGTTTTTTGTTTTAAACTTATTGATAATTAATTTCTTGGTTTTGCAACTATAGACAAATAGATGTAAACGGTTCTCAAAACATTCAAGTCTATGCATAAAAACACAGATAAAAAGGCTGCCTTTTTATTTTGTGCTGTTTTTCCCTTCTTTCTTTCTCTTGAGGTTTTACTTCACTGTATTGCTTCTCCTGCACATATTTTATTGCTGCGTAACCTAATAATTTTTCAGGAACTCTCAGCTTAATTATCTTCTCCCTGCTTTCTCTGTTGTCGTTGAAGCTGCGGAGCTCCTTCAAACAGGCCTTCAGTAAGAAGAAATCACCTAAATCAGCCTCGTCCCACTCAGACATTGAGGAGATGACGGATTCCTCTCTCCCTTCCTCTCCCAAACTCCCTCACAACGGCACCAGCACCTCGGCACTGCTGCTCCGCAACACACACTCCAGCTCAATGTGAGTGTGTTTGTGTTATATAACAGCTCTGAACCTGAATAACAACACCACATCACATCACATTTTAAATAAAATATAAAAAACTGTGGCACATAATTGGAATTAATTTAGGTTGAAGATCTGAAATTACAAACTGGAAATAAATTAAAACTAATGCTAAACCTTGAATAAAAATAAATCAGGGTTATTGTACTTAACTAAAACCATCAAAAATGTTACTTGAAATAAAATAAATGTAAACTGAAATGAAAAAAGAATATATAAACGTTCTCTTTTTTTTTTATCTACGTGCTCTTTTCATCTAACAACATGTATGTTGTCATGTAGACTGTCAGACTGTCTGGATGGGGAGGCGGAGACTGTGATGCAGCTGCGTAACGAGCTTCGAGAGAAGGAGATGAAGTTGACGGACATTCGACTGGAAGCCCTAAGCTCCGCCCACCAGCTGGACCAGCTGCGGGAGGCTATGAACCGCATGCAGGTGTGAGATTGACCTTTACGTTACCTTCTTGGAGTCCCACAAATCAGATTTATTGGATCAATTATCTATTTTGCAACAGTGTTTTTCACTATTTTTTAGTAGAAAAGAGGAATGTTACATATTTTATCACTGTGTGGGTGGTCTGCTAGATGGAGATCGAGAAGTTAAAGGCAGAAAATGATTGCCTTAAGTTGGAAGGCCAAGCCAGTGGGAGCAGGGCGTCTTCTCAAGTGTCTGTCTATAACCCCACCTCGACCCCAACGCCTGGCCTGTCTGAACACAGTCTCAACCTCACAGAGACCACCAGCTTCGGTATGAGCATACGTGTTTGTTTTTTGTGTTATTTTTCCCTAAAGGTTGTTTTGTAGCTGTATGCGAGAGAAAAAAAATCATAAAAGCACATTAAAGGTCTAGTCTGTCTTCTTTCAGACATGTTGTTGGATGACTCTGGTGGAGATGGAAGCTCTCGTAAAGAGAGCAGACACGTGAAAATAGTTGTCAGTCTTCAAGAGGACGTCACGTGGAAAGAGGTCAGTTCTCCCGCCTTTTTTGCAGGAAGATTTTTTTAAAAATGCCCCATTTGAGAGAGTTTTGTTTTAATGATTTGTCTTCTGTCTCCCACAGGACTGCAGGACTCGAGACTACCTGATTGGCTGCATTGGTGTCAGTGGAAAAACCAAGTGGGATGTTCTGGATGGAGTTGTACGGCGCTTGTTTAAGGTACATTCATTTACATGCATTGCTGTAACCTTTTTGTTGACGATGAGTGGTTTACATTCAGAAACATTAGACAGTGGTTCATTAAAATATTTTGATGAATTATTTTTTGGGGGGTGCTTAGTCTCTATATACTTCAGAAAGACTTTTTCATCGAGGCATTTAACATGAAGTGGTTTGCGAAAAGTGCTCTAATTTAATTTCTGAAAGATGTGATATCAACACACAGTATTATCCAACCACATGAAAGCAACTTGTAAGACAGATGAATCTCATGAAGCAATGTTCAGGTCATATTTTACTCCAAAAGCAAATAGAAATTACATTTTGCTTAATTAAAATGAAGCTGTTTTTGTGAATACACAGTATTTTTATATTAAAGGGTTAGTTCAACCAAAAATGAAAATTCTGTCATTAATTACTCACCCTCGTGTTGTTCGAAACCCGTAAGACCTTCGTTCATCTTCGGAACACAATTTAAGATATTTTTGATGAAATATGAGGGCTCTCTGACCCTCCCATAGACAGCAAGGTAACTACCATGTTCAAGGTCCAGAAAAGTACCAAGATGATCGACAAAGTAGTCCGTGTGACATCAGTGGTTCAACTGTGAAGTTACGAAGCTACGAGAATACTTTTTTGCGCAAAGAAAACAAAAATAACGACTTTATTCCACATTTTCGTCTCTACTGCGTCACTTTGGACGCACGTTCATGACAGTCACATGACGCGAGCTTGTGGCGGCGCTGACCCAGATTCTCGTAGCTTCGTAACTTTACAGTTGAACCACTGATGTCACACGGACTACTTTGTCGATCATCTTGGTACTTTTCTGGACCTTGAACGTGGTAGTTACCTTGCTGTCTATGGGAGGGTCAGAGAGCCCTCAGATTTGATGATCGACAAAGTAGTCCGTGTGACATCAGTGGTTCAACTGTGAAGTTACGAAGCTACGAGAATACTTTTTTGCGCAAAGAAAACAAAAATAACGACTTTATTCCACATTTTCGTCTCTACTGCGTCACTTTGGACGCACGTTCATGACAGTCACATGACGCGAGCTTGTGGCGGCGCTGACCCAGATTCTCGTAGCTTCGTAACTTTACAGTTGAACCACTGATGTCACACGGACTACTTTGTCGATCATCTTGGTACTTTTCTGGACCTTGAATATGGTAGTTACCTTGCTGTCTATGGGAGGGTCAGAGAGCCCTCATATTTCATCAAAAATATCTTAAATTGTGTTCCGAAGATGAACGAAGGTCTTACGGGTTTCGAACAACACGAGGGTGAGTAATTACCAATTTCTGGGTGAACTAACCCTTTAAAATATGCACAAATTCAGTACAACAGATACTACCGTTATTACACTTACAATAGTACTTTATAAATGTATTTGACTATTTAAATATGTATTTTTTTTAAATATACATAAATATGTATATTTTATTACATTTAAAAGTTAGTGGAGACCTGTTGGATTTGATTACGTGATCGTCTCTCTGTAGGAGTACATCAGGCATGTTGATCCGGTCAGTCATCTGGGTCTGGGTTCAGACACTGTGGAGGGTTATCGTATTGGAGACGTGATCCGGTCCAGCGGAGCACACACACCTGAACTCCTGCCTTGTGGATACCTCGTGGGAGAGAATGACACAATCAACATCTCGCTGAAAGGTTCACACAATCAACAAAAGTTTTATTTGTTATCATTATTTGTCCTAATTGCTCCATGTTTCTGTAGTTAACATTGTTTATGTTTCTCTCATTTCAGGTGTGAACTCTCAGTCCGAGGATTCTCTGGTCTTCGAGACATTGATTCCCAAACCCATGCTCCAGCGTTACGTGTCTTTGCTCCAGGAACATCGCAGGATCATCCTTTCAGGCCCCAGCGGTACTGGAAAATCCTACCTGGCCCACAGACTGGCAGAGCATGTGGCGCTGCGAGAGGGCAAACTGCCCAGTGAGAGCAACATCGTCACCTTCAATGTCGACCATAAATCCAGCAAGGTGAGAATTGATCTCTTTTCCTTAGTTTGTGAGCCAAGTTGTTTGTGTCAGCTCTACATCTTTTAAACTCTATTTTATGTAACATTTATGTCAAAAGAGCAAGGAAAATCAATTTTTTTCCCTTTAGAAACTAAGCTTTCATCTCCAAAATGGTAAAATATATGAGCCAAAGTCTAGAAATCCTTATACATTAGAAAGTAAAGATGTATACATTTATTTTATAGGAGTTGCGTCAGTACTTATCAAATATAGTGGAGCAGTGCAGCACTGACGGGCAGGAGACTGAAGCCCCTCTTGTGCTCATTCTGGACAACCTTCATCACGTCAGCTCACTGGGAGAGATCTTCAACGGCCTGCTTAACTGCAAATACCAGCGCTGGTGAGTCTGCCTTTCATTTTTTTTCATAAATACATGACTGTTCAAATGTTTGTGTTTTTTTTTAAATACTTGTATTAAGTAGGAACACATTAAAGTGATCGAAAGTGAAAGTAATGAAAATGTATAATGTTACAAAAGATTCTATTCATCAAAAAAAACTGGAAAAAAAAGGCATCACAATTTCTACCAAAATATTAAGCAGCACAAATGTTTTCAACATTGGTAATAATAAGAAATGTTTCTTGAGCAGCAAATCAGCATATTAGAATGATTGCACTGAAGACTGCAGTAATGATGCTGAAAATTCTGCTTTGCATCACAGGAATAAATTACATTTTAAAATATATTGAAATATGTAAAATATCAAATGTATTAAATTGTAATATTTCACAACATTACGGTTTTTACTGTATTTTTTATCAAATAAATGCAGTCTTGGTGAGCATAAGAGACTTTCAAAAGCATTAAAAGATTTTACCAACCCCAAAATATTGAACAATTGCGTATATTTATATAATTTCTTTTAATAACAAAAATGTGTTTATGTACACACTACAGTCAGTGTAACATGCACATGCACACAGCAATGAGTGTACAATTAATGCTTTGATTTTGTCTCTCTGTATTTGCAGCCCGTATATAATCGGCACGATGAGTCAGGCGACATCTTCTGCTCCAAACCTGCAGCTTCATCATAACTTCAGGTACAAAACTCTTCTTTTTTGTTCTTGAGTTAACTAAAATTATACCTTAACAGATAAACTGCTACAGAGTGACCTCAAGGTGGCGCCATTGCGCTGTTGTTGGCAGCAATGATGAAATATTTTTATTTTTTTATTTTTTTTATTTATGTTCCTTTCTTTCTTTCTTTTTTTTTTTATTTATATTTTATTTTATTTTATTTGTTTTGAGTTGTCAGGGGTGGAGTTGAATATGTATGTGTGTATATAGTTTGGGATCAGAACGATTTTTAATGTTTTTTAAAGGAGTTTCTTCTGCTCATCAAGGCTGCATTTATTTGATCA